AGCAGGGGCAGTGGCAGGCGGTTTTCTTTTCGGGCACGCAGCAATTGAAAGCAGATATGGAAAATAATTTTAATAGCAATAAAAAGCAAGAAGAGGGAAAAAAATTAAATAAAAAACACGCAAAATGCACGCAAGAGAAGGAAAAGCCAGTGATGGAAATCAGCAAACCACAAAATTGAGGCCCAGAATTCACAGCATTTCTTTTGAGGTTGGAAAATGCAAAAAACTCAATGGAAAACCAAACAAGAGAAAGCCAAATCATAAATTACAGACTCTTAACGCCTTGGGCTGATTGCATATATTAAGTGATTGCCAGCGATTTGATTGGCCTGCAATCATTGATTGCCAAGTAGATTGAAATGATGAGTTAAGTTGAAAGAAGAAGATGCAATGGAAGTAATGTGGCCTTAAAGATAGTTCTAACTGCTAGTTAGAGGTTCTTTTAAAAACGTTTGTTAAGTTTATTAAGAAAAAGCTAGTAAAGTAGAAAACCAGAAGTGTAATTTTATGCCAGCCAGCTATTAATTATAGAATTCTTCCATAGCCATCGCTGTGTGGGCTTAAATAATTTATTCACTCTCTTTTCTTAAGCGCGGTTTCTCTCTCTGGAAAACCCGCCAAGCACTTAGAAAAAAGAGTGTTGATAAAACGAAAAACTCCAACAGCTGACATTCCATTTCCATTCCATTCCGTTTCGTTTCGTTTCGGAACAGAAATGTAGCACCAAAAGGCAACTAGCGTAAAATTGAACAAGTTAAAAGGAAAATTGAAGCCGAAATGTGTAAAGGTTTTCCTTTGTTTGCTGTGGGGAGTGTTGGTTGCGCAGTCGCGCGTGTGCAAAAGAACGAAAAGCCACGAAAAACCACTTGGAAAAATTAGCCAAACAATTTTCGAGTCCGTCGTCGTAGGAGCCTTTAGATTAATATTATTATTTTTTTTTTTTTTTTTTTGGTAGCAGCCAGGCAGGGTGGCTAAAACCGGTAGGGGGTGCGTTTACAGGGGCCAACACGCCATGACCATAAATCTTAATTGCCAGGGCGGGCAGGCAAGCGAAACCAAGCCAGCCAAGCCGATGTCGATGTCAGATGGTTTTGGGCCAAGAAAATATATATAAAGGAGAAACGGAAAAACAGCCCTACTTAGCCGAATTAACTGGGGATGTCTAAGATCGTATCTTAAGGTTATTCTATGTGAAAAAATTCTATTACGAAGGTTTATTTCCAGTTTAGGAGGAAGCATTATGTGGCAGTTTTCGTTTGGGGTTTCAGTTTTAGAAGAAAACTTTATAGAATGGCAGTTACTACATGAAAATGATCTTTAGAAGATGATATTATATCATACTTTATGATGTAACCAAAAAAACTTTGTAGTTCGCCTTCGGTAAAGAACTTTTCCATGCCCAAAAGAATCTTATTGCTTCAATCTTAATGGATAATCCATATAAGTAATGAGTAACTGTTGTAAAATATATCATAATTCCCTTAAAAACAATAACTAAACACCATAAAAGCAGCTTCCAATCTGCGAAAACCAACCAAGCCAGTCCAGTGAGCGTTTCCCGCCCTTCGCGAGTGCTGTGTTCTAAACTTTGCTATCTAAACAGGAAACCATGTCAAGGCTAAAGAAAAACTGAACAAATAGAAACCAAAAAAAAAAGAAGGAGAAAACAATTAACAAAACTAAAAAAAAAGGCAACGGAAACCAAAAATCTACAAAGGCAACTTTGGCAAGGATACCAAATAGAAGGGGAAAGCTGCTAACCAAATCCAAATCCAAAAAATGAACTGCGGTGCTTTGCGTGCTATTAGCAGCGACGAGGTGCAAATGCAGACGGCGAATTCGGCGACGACGCCGCAACAGAGGAAGATGCACTCGATGCCACGTACCACTGCCACACAGAGTTCCCAGAATGCCACACCGATACCCTTGAGATCCGCAGATCCGCATCAGCAGCCACAGACGTCGGCCATGCGGAGGAGCACGATGCCGCGGAGTAGGGGTTTGGCCTCTTGTTTGAGGGGCGAACGGGATGATGCACCCACTCCGCCTATTCACGAGGTCCACTGCGATGTGCAGCAGTTGCAGTTACTACATCAGCAGCAGCAGCAGCAGCAGCAGCAGCAGTCGCAGCCGCAACAGCAGCAACATCAATTGCTGTTGCAGCAGGAGCAACTGCAGCTGATGAAGGGGCAGGACCAGGAGCGAGTCTCTGGGACAGGATCGGGTGCATCTACTCTAGAGACGAATGGCAGGAGTAAGTATTATGCCAGGGATATAGTTTGGAACATAAAGCTTTCTAATCTAAGAAAAGAAGGGAACTATCTTCTCTGATTCGTTGCCTACTTTTAAGCGTCTCGAAAAGGGCCTTTTTATAATAGTAGTTATCTCAATTGTAGGGGTTACATTCCATTTACCGTTACTTTTCAAACCCTTTGCGATAACAGGAAGTAGCGCATGATCAGAAATCTGAATGATTCGGCGACATTGCCTATCTCAGAACCTTGGGGACTCTTTCATCTGTCATCGCATTTCTCGGCAGAGAGTAGAACTTCGTACCAAGCAGATGGGCGGATGGATGACGGATGTGACATCATCGAGAATTCACAATCATCATTGGATTCTGCTGGGTTGGGTAGTTGGTTCATCAGTTCGTTCGGTCACTTCGCTTTGAAGTCAATTGAGCGGCGGCATAATTTACAGTTGCACAGTTACGACTGATGACCCGAGGAGAGTAGATAATGCTCTTGCTTGGGAAAAAGTGTCAAACGGAACAGTCATAATAATAATAATAATAATGGGTTGAGCTGAGAAGCAAAAGTTAAGCGAAGAGTAGAGTAGAGACCCCCAGACGAAGGCTCCTGGGTCACCTACAACAATTGCTCAATTTACGAGCTTGCCCCACATTGTGGCCGCCTGTCGCCGTCTAGCTAGCAATTGTAAATTGTATCTCTAGAGATCTTGTCTGTATTTCATATTTTGCATTAATTGAAGTGAATTCACAACAGCAACAGCAACAACAGCAGCAGTAGGTTCAAAGGTCAGGCCATGTAAATGGGTCGAGTTTTTGCAAAACAAAACACTAAACATCTGACATTTGCATTTGACACAACTAATCCATTTTCTTTTAATTAAATCTACTTACAGGTGAGTACAAGTCGAAGACACTGCCTCGCATACATTTCGACACGGCGCTAAACGATACATCGCTGAACGAAGGTAACACAAAGTGCCCCTGTCCTCCCCTCTTCGATTGATTCCCTTTTCATTGGCTTACTCATGCATTGTCCGTATCTCAATGTCGTGACATTGTTACTGAGTTTCCCGATGATTTCCATGTGGTTCTCGTGTTCTTTTTTTGTTGTTCTTGTTTTACTGTGAGAATGAGAGACCTAGAAACCCACAAATGCGACTATTTTTTTGCCGGCTCAGCGCAATGCGATCTGCTCTGAGCTTATCAGCAAATGTATATTATATCATGGCTCTACTTTAATTCGAAAAACTAGGGGTTTTTGAACAAAAACTAAATATGTAAAGAAACCAAAGATAAGGAAGTGGATGCGGTTTTTGGAATACCAAAAACCGGAAATCAAAGTTTAAAGTTTGATAAGTGAATTCAGTCATGAAGCTTGAGAAAGTTCTTTGTTTTGGGTTCCAATTACTTGTTTGATTCGGATTTAAGTTTGTTTACTGAACTACTTTAAAGTTGAGTGCAAAATTGACTTTCATTTGTTTGAAATTGATTAGCAAAGCAAAGACTGATTTGTAGACAAAAATTTAGTGCCACTTGAAGACTGAATGACTGTTCAGTAAACAGTTCATTAATATTTATAAATAAGTTGGAATGAAATGGAAAACTGAAGTAATTGAGTTAACAACTTGCGGACAAGTTCTAGTTTTGGTTAACTAAAAAACTTGTTTTTGGCAAACTGCAAAAGTTAACTCCTTACCAGAGTCATCCAGATTGATTAAAATAAACTTTTTCCAACTTTTATAACAATATAATCTATTAAATCATGTTATTTAATCATTACCTATCAAGAAAGACACATTTATCTGCCTAAAATGCGGCATTTTATAATGCCAAACTGTAATTTCCCAAAACTCTACGTGTAGCAAACCCAACTTCTACTTGACATGACATTTACTCTACTCCAGCCAAGAAGTAGGCAATATTTCTTGGCCTACACTATGTTTATTTGCATAAACTGAACATTTATGTTGTTTATTAATTTCGGGTGGCAGCAGGCAGGGGTTAATTTCACATTCCTGTTCAAGTAACGGAATTTCAAAAGGCAGGACGTGGCTTATATAACGATCGTTTGGCCAAGGGTTGAAAAGAAGAAAAAAAAACTGAAACCAATTCAAGGGGGGAGTTCCATTGTGCCCCTATGCTAATGTAATGCCAATGGAAATGAATGAAAATGGGATGGAAATGGTTACTTTCGACTCGGCTTGCTCGTAAACAAGTCTTCCGTTTCGTTTGAGGCGACGAAGGAGGCGAACGTGTCACATAAAACCCCATAGTCACGCACTTCCGCAGTGAAAAAAAGTACAAAAATAAAATAGAGGTAAAGAGCGAACGAAGCGTTACGGCGGTTGGCAAGTAGGATGTTATGAAGTGGTGGGAGGGGTACCCTTTAATTTGTATTACGCGCTGCGCGGCTGCCCAACTAGCACCTAACGCATATACACACTTACAGTTGAGGGAGACACAAAAATGCTACTTAAAATAATAGTTACAAAATCTTAGAAACAAAATCAGACAAGAGTTCTATCAAAAACTAACAAAAATTATTTATTTTAAGTTTAATTTAAAGAGTTTAGTTATTTTTTAATATTTTTTAGCCAACAGTTGCTAATATTCTTATCACAATTGTAGCCCTAGGGTTGCCAGATCGCTTTTGCTCGTTAGCTCTCTTTGCGCATGGGCAGCACTCTGTCTCTATCTCACTCTCGCTGGGCACCACTGCCGATCGTGTCGGCTGCTGTTTTGTGTTTGTTCGCCTTTCAGATCGATTTTTGAGTTCGGGCAGAGGAGACAGCGCAGGCGGCTCGCATCGCTCCGTTTTATTATTGTTTATTTTCATTTCGCTCTCTCGCGCGTCGACTTTAGTGTTTTATTGCATTTTATATACATATTTTTTTTGTCGCTGGATAAAATATTTCTGTTTTTTTTTTGTTATCGTGCATATAAATATTGCATTTATATAGCTTGTTTAAATAGTTCTAAAAGCGTGTGTTGGTTTTTGTTTAAGTGTTTTATTCCCTTTTCCCAACAACAACAACAAGAAAACGCATTCCTGCACACGAAGAGGAAAAAAGATGCGTGTGCGTGTGTATTAGTGCCGTCTCTCTCTGCGCCTTAAATGTGTGCGTGTGTGTATGCCTGCAATTGAAAACCAAAATTAAACAAACAACAAAAAAGTAAAAGAGTAGAAAAACTTAACCAAGCGACAATGTGATGCGAAAAGGCGATAAACAAAAAAAAAGTAAAAAGGAAAAGAGAAAGAAATAGCAAAGGCAAAAACAAAGCGGCGAAGAAAGAGAAAAAACGCGGAAATGCAGTTGAGCGCATAATTTTTTGTAAGCCAAGCGACAAACGCATACACTCGAATGTAAAGATATAACAAAATACATAAATAAATTCGAGAAGTAAAAACAGAAGCATCAGCGAAAAAGAGAAAGAAGTTCTAGCAGAACAAGCTGAAGAAGAAGAAGCAGAAGCATCAGCGTCAACAAACACAAACACAAAATATACCTGCGTCTGTTTCTCTCTCTCTCTCCTCTCTGTTACTCCAACGATTGTAAGCGTGTGTGTGTGTGTGTGTGTCAGTCTGTGTGCCATGCTCTCTAAAATACACTGAGCGAAACGACACGAAGCACAAAATGTTGCAGGCAGCCAGCAGCACAACAACAACATTAGTAAATACACCAAATACTGAGCACAGTGAAATCCCGATAATAGCAACGCCCGAAGAGAAATCCCAAAGACGCCGCTCCACATTCTACGTTCCATTGGTCATCGAAGACGAGGAGGAGCCGAAAAAAGATCAGGATTTGGTCCAGAAATCCTCAAGTAATACCAGCCTGAGTAGCAATAGCAATTCATTGACCAATTCCGAAACGAAATCATCGAAAAGCTATAGCCTTCGGAAATCGAGTTCGGTGAAAAGCGGTGTGGCCAAGGTTAGTGCCCTCTTCGAGCGGAAAACTGCAGCGAAAATGTCACCACCTTGCGGTTTCAATTGGAGTATCAGCGGTAGCGAGAATACCGCTCAATATTCCGATACCGATGAGGATGAGGAGAACTCGACGGAGGCTCGTCATCGTGAACAGTTGCTGAAGTCCCTGCCCATTGGTAACAATAATATCACCACTAGCACCACCGCCACAACCACCACCACTGCATCCCCATCGAAACTGAAAAGATATGGTATTGTACTGAACGTCATCAGTTTAAATGGCAGCGATAACGAACAGTCGTTGGCCAGTCTTAACCATATACCAAATACTATGCCAACTGCACCCCGAACTCATTTCAATGAGGAGAACGATATAGTCTTGGCCACGCCTCCGCCGCCTAAGAAACAACAACAGCAGGCCTTATCGAATCAAGAATCCAGCAATGATTACGATGATGATTCAGAGATCAGTCGAATGCAAACGAACACCTCGACGCCCATTAAGCTAATGAAATCGCGATCGCGTACAAATATATTAGCCGTACCGCTGCCAACGGTTGAGCGCGGTTTGGCCACAAATACGATAACTAATAACAATAATATAAATACTAATAATACCTCATCTATGGGAACCAGCACTACTACTACTACGACGACACTGATTACGCTCCGTGCAAAATCGAAGACCCTGCCGCAGAACTTATCGCCCTCAGTTGTTTTACGCGAGGCAGCCGCTTTGGATGAGTTGGAAAAGAAGCGGGAAAAGTATCAGGAGAAGCAGGACAAGCTGCAGGATAAACAGCGTCAGCTGTTTGGCGGCAGTACCGTCAGTCAAATAGCTGGATCGGTATCGGGCTCAGGATCTTCGCCATATAAACTGCAAAACAGCTGTTCGGCCACATCCATATTGACGCATAGCTTTCCACCGAAAAACCTCTTTCTACTCAAGTCAACGCCCAAATTGTCAACGGATATTGGCACGGTTACGCCCCCAAATACCTCGGTGATCTGTTCACCGCCCAAGAAATCCCTCAGTTTCATCCGCCGTGCACATTCCACTAAAGTGGCGCGTAGTAATTCATTACTAAAACCGAATCAAGCTGGCGTCATCGGAACGGGAAGTGGTACGAACGGATTATCTGTTAATCAGGGAGCCATGCATGGATCATTATCCACCAGCTGTGCTGGGGATAGTTCCAGTAACAATGGCAGTTGGGGCAAACATTTCTATCAGCCCTACGATGTTTGCCCATTGAGTTTGGATGAGCTCAACTGTTATTTCCAGGCGGATCATTGTGAGGAATTGATATGTGAAAGGTTTAAGATCAGGGATCTGACCATACATATGGCATCGGCATCGGCAACTGGAGCGGATCTCTCGGTGGCCACAGAGAATGAGACAACGGTAACGGCGGAGGACGATGCGGGACATCATTCCGGTAGGTCGTCCCCCTCTTTGTTCTTTGTCCCTGCTCACTGGGCTACCCCCCAATACTAAGTATTTCCTGTGGCAAACAAACGAAAAACAACCCCAAACGATACCATATACCATTATACCATTCCATTCGATCGTCCGATCCCCGTTTTGGGCTGTACAATGGCTTTTTGTATCGAACAACGGCGATCGCATTTGGTATTCCCCTATCTGCGCAGGGTCACGATAAGATAAAGCACCGCCCCCTGCCCCTGAAAGACAGTATGCGTCAAAGTTGTAGGTCTGTGTCTGTAACTGCTGTTCTTGTTTCTTAAAATATTGAAGTACCTTAAAAAGGTATCTAAAGTTGTTTTCCTTTTTCTATTCTATAATAATAATAACATTAAACACTTCTGTTTTGATATTACTATCTAATTATTGATTACCGAAAGTATCATAAAACCTATTAACCGTTCAAAAATGACTAGATATTGTTTATAAAACCAAATGATCTATTAACTCAAGTCAGAGAGTCTATTAGGAATGATAATAGCTAATATTAAACCCGGTGAACACAATGTTATGCTTGTAAATTGCGTCTTTTATTACGGTTACCTACTATTACTATTTTATGGACAGATGTTTTAAGGGCTATTATTATGACCGCAGCTGTGCAGCTGTGCCCCTTCTCTTTTTTACCCGTGTGTTCTTCACACTTTCTGGCGGCTCTTATTAAGCCTTCCTGTGCGTTTCTTTTGCGACGTTTGCCATCATCAAGCCAGCTACTTTATTTACACACGATCGGAGGTGAACCCTCCTCCCCCAACCACGCAACATACCTATATATATATATATGTATATGTATATGTTCATGGGTATATATATCTTTTGGAACGTAGCCCAATTGTGAGGCTCAATTGTAGCTCAATTTGATGGCCCTGGAAGGCAGCGAAGCGTCGCACCATGGGCTTCATATTAGTACACAGAAAATAAATAATATTAAATAATGTGACTGATATGAGAATGGGTTATATGATCAATCAATATTATTGATTTTGTTTTAAAGTGATAGTGCTTTTGTAGATGTTTCTTTTCTCTACTGCTTCCTGGCTTGTTTTCTATACAAAAAACATAAAATAAAGTCATCTTGATTTCTGATACTTAAACATGATTTGCTGTGATCTTTGACCTTGTTTTCTTCTTGTGTAGAAACCAAACTGAACCCAAGTAGATCTGAAAGTGATTGGGGTATCTGTACACTAAGTGTATCTATCCATCCTCTTGCATTTTGATTTCGTATTCCAGGAACGCCATTGGCGTGTTTTTTCCTCATTTCTTTCTCTTTTTTTTTTTGGTTTCAACTAGTGACGACTTCTTGAATTATTCCCGCTGTGCTGGTCATTGAATCGGAATCAGTTTTCTATACTTGGAACGCCGCGAAGCCCATTGCATTACAATGAGTTCGAGGGAGTGGGAAAGAGATGGGGAGAAGCACGCTCTGTGGTACCGTTAAATGCCCGATCGATTCGCATTAACACCGACGAAGAAGTGTGGCCAATTCGATTTGTGATCATTTAAATGATGGTCCCACTGTGCGGCGTCGTTTCCTTTTGTCTTTGTTTTTTCTTTCTTTCTATCTGCTTTGGCTCTTTCCCTTCCATTCTCTGGCTACAATTTCAATTTCGTTGCTTTTTTTCTGGACTGTTGTTATTTTATTATGATTCACACACACCCGCACAAGAAACCAGTTTTTTTTTTTTCGTGAAGTAAGAGAGAGAGTGGGAGCGGGAGCGGGAGCGGGAGAGACGAGAATGAGAATGCCAAACAAACGAACCGCTTTATTTTAAAACTCAAATTGTTGCTGCCATTTTTCGCTGATGCACTGCAAATAATTGGTGTCAATTTGATGATAGTTTTAAAGATTAACCAACAAATTGTGATTTCTGCAATTATGTTCCATTATCTTGAGTCATTGTCTGGGCCCACAACTGTTTACTATATCTCTTTGTCATGTGATTTTTAAGGCTTAGTCTCTTTTATAAAATCTAAAATATATTATAGTCTAGACCAGTTGGAAAAAGTTACATACAGAGTAAATACCCAAAAAACCTTTTAATATTTTTCCCAGTGACTTGGTTTCGATTTCAAGTGGCCAGCAAACATGCAGATAGTGTGATTCAGAATCGGAACTCTTGTGACGCCGTCGGTTTGCCGTTGTTTGCCGCTGCATTCGCCCAGTGTAGTTGTAGTTGCTGTTGCTGTTGCAGTTGCAGTTGCATTTTATTTGTAATGTGATAACAGGCAAGCGCTTTCGTAACTAACGACTTAACCCAAAGCGGTTTCTATTTATTTCTTATTTTCGTCGATAAACTCGGACGACGACGATGGAAATAATATTGAGATAGACGAAACAAAAAAGGGAAAAACAGATAGGAAAATTTATGATTTCGAGAGCAAACGAAGTTAGTTTATTATTGATCGAGGCCTTATCACAGAAGACTGTGCTCCCCATAGATCATATATCATATCATATACTCGTATACCCTATATCACTTATCACTCAAACGCAGAGCTGTTGACATTTTCGAGAAGAGAAGAGCTAAGCAAAGAAGCGAAGAAGAGATAAAGATACAGATACAGGGGCCATTTATCTATCTGCCACGATCGTTGGCTAGTTCCATTTATCAGGGCCCCACTGACTCTGACGGATCGTGAGATAGTGAGTGATCACTGTACGCATTTTCCACACTTTCCACATGCTGCTGTCTGGCTTTTTTCGTCTTCTTCTTTTTGGTTTACTTAACGCGCTGATAATTGAGCTCTGACCTTATCGCACAGTTAGCATCTGCCCCAGGGAGGGCAGCAGCTAGGTAAATCCGATCGATCAGCAGTGAAAGCGACCCAGCGTCGTCTTTAATCCGTTTTAATTACAAGCTGTCTTTAAAAACCTACAACTTAAAACTTAAAACCCCGAAAAGCGAAAGAATTTATAGGGTGACTCAAGCGATGAGCAATATCATCTGTGTCAGCGGCGTTTCAGCATCAGCCAGCCAGCTAGCCAGCAGCCTCATCACATCACACGATCATGATCTCGCGGTCTTGGAGGTCCGGTCATATGGCCAAAAAAGCAAATTATTACACACTCCCGGGAGATGAAATGTAATAAGTAGGCAACCAGCCATCGGCCACCAGCAACCTGATCTCCGCTGACTTCATCGCACTATATATGCGATAAGCCCACCTATTTGCAACCAAAAATGGTATTTGCCATCATTTTGGGATCACAGAAACAGACGATCTTCTGTTGTATCATTTATTGGAGAGACCTAATCAGTTCTTGAACTCTGGCTTACTACATGCTTATGATGATGGGGGTCAACTATAAAATAACACATCGAATTTGAAATTATTAGGTTGTCCCAAGAACTTGTGGGTAATAAAACATAAAAATTACTAGAAGTGCTGAAGTTATTGCAGCTTGTTGCTACATAAATATGATAAGCCAACTTGCCCCAGATTGTTATGGAAAGTTTGAGAAAAGAGAACCATGTTTATGTTAATGTTGAAAATGTTGAGATAACATCCCTTTCTAGTTAACTTTAATTAAAAACCAGAATGGTTTTAGGGTGTGTTTGGCCTGATTTGCGTGCCTATTCTAGATTTGGCATTAATCTGGGGGCGTGGAAGAGCCACCCACCTTCTACGAAAACGGTATAAATGCGAGACTCACCTTTTTCATTCATGATGGTTTTGGTTCTTTGTTTTTTTTCCGGATTTTGGTGTTTGTTTTGCACACCAGGCGGTAAGATTAAGACGGTGATACAGTTGCTCATCAACGAGTTTTGATCTTATATAGAAATATTTCATAATTATCTTTTTTTCTCTGCTGCCTTTATTATTAATAGAAGTTGTGTGTTTTTGATTGCCAACATGCCAACATGCCAGCATGCCAGCCTGTCAAACATGACACAATTTGCTGTCCACCCTTCGTAGATTCTTATATCATATATTTGGTTTTTGTATTTTTTGAATGAATGACAAATCGTGGTGTTTGCATCTGGTGGCCATTGAAATGAATCAACCGGGAAATGCGGAAGGGACAGCAGAGCACAAAACCAAACGGTTTGGGCGGAGTTACTCATAAAACATGGAAATGCCCTGCTTTTCCCGATGCCCCTTTTGCATGCCATCAGATAAACATGATGTTTGCTCTCCCCCTGATGAGTCAGACTTCTGGTATATGGCCACGTCCATGGGTTACATCTTCTTCTCCTTCTCCCTTTTTCATGGCTAACTTTGTAGGTGGCCTGCCTTCGACAAGGTCGCTTTGTTCTTTGGTTTCTTGGCTGTGCGGGCGGTTTTGTGGCAAGAAGAGAAGGCAAATGAAGGTGAAGAGATGCCCAGGTGAAAACTGGTTTCTAGTCTCGGGATTCCAATAAAGTTTCCACTTGCGATTGCACTGGGAAAACGGGGATTTTGGGGGAAAATCTATGGAATGTGCTTGTGCTGGGCATGTAAGGAATATTATTTGCTGAAAGTTTAAAACTATTTATCAAGTGTTGCTTCTGCGATGACAAAGATCATACTTAGGAAAACCACTTTGAATGCAAATAACAATCATAATTATCAACTTGCTAATCCTGTTATTCCTCTGTGATATCATTTAAACGGATAATTAAGATGATATTTCGATATCAAGAAAGAGATAAGAAAAACAGGTCTTGAATTTAGACCACTTTTCGAGTGTTTGGTTCTATGGCCTTTGTTGACGAGTGTACTCGCTGAGCATCTTGCCACGGTAATGAGGCACATGATGAATCATGCTTACCTGCCCCTTTCTGCTGGCACTGCCCCCTGCTGCTGCCTCATTTTCTGGCTGTGCTCCGGCTGTTGTTTGGTTTTTTGTTGCTGTTGTTGTTGATGTTTTTTTTTTTTGCGGCAGGTGATGCGGCTATGTTGATGGCTCTCCGGAGCTGCTGGGATAAACTCATTCGAGCAGCAGCTGCTCCTTTTCTTTTGTTCGACTGGCAAAGGCTGGAAACCAGTTTTAAGTCGTCGAAAGACAGAAAAAAACTGAAACCGATGTTCTGTTTTTTGTTATACGGAAATTGGGAAAAATGTGTGCGGGGGAAGAAGATGTGAGGCGCTGGAGCTGGGAATTCATCATTGGGGGATTAAAATATTTGCCTGAATCACCTGAAAAGAAGGTCAATGAAATGTGTTCGAAATGAGAGACGGCACTTGTGAGATAATCCCTTCTAATATCCTCGTTTTCTCGTTTTCCTTTTATTTCTTTCAGATACTTCCTATGAGAAGGCGTGCCGCCGTGGATCAGCCCCTACCACGCCCATCTTGGGCAGCAAAAACCAGACGGAGCACAATGCCACCTCGCGATTCACCAATTTCTTTTCCAAAAAGTGAGTTTTAATCTCAGATTATTGATCTATATGAGCATTGACAATCTTATTTCTTCGTGTACTAGATCTAATCCCCTTAAGCGGACCAAGTCGGTGACCAAACTGGAGCGGACCAAGCGCGGATCCGGCGGACTGAGGGGCTCCCGCTCGCACGAGAGTCTGCTTTCCAGTCACGCCGTCATGTCCACCATAGGTGAGTCTTCGTCTCTTGCTTGGCCAATCCTATATTATAACCTTCTGGTATCCCGTTTAGATCTCTCCTGCACTGGGGCCGTGGGCGTGGCTCCTGTGCACCAGTCAGTCCTGGGACGACGCCACTGTTTCCAGGTACGGGGCGGGCCTCGTGGCGAGCGTTACTATTCGTGCGGATCGCGCCAGGAGCGTGATCTTTGGATCTACTCGCTGCGCAAGTCGATAGCACCGAATGCGGAGCACACTCGTCGCACGGACAACTCCCTGAAGATGTGGGTATACGAGGCGAAGAATCTGCCTCCCAAGAAGCGTTACTTCTGTGAACTGCAACTGGACAAGACCCTGTATGGCAGGACATCGGTGAAGCTCCAGACGGATCTGTTGTTTTGGGGAGAGCACTTTGACTTCCCCGATATACCCGAGATTAATGTGATCACTGTGAATGTGTTCCGTGAGGTGGACAAGAAGAAGAAGCGGGACAAGTACCAGTTTGTGGGATCCGTGAAGATACCCGTGCACGAGGTTACCTCCAGATTGCCCTGCGAGCAATGGTATCCCATACTGAGCGACAAGGCGGGCGATAGTCTGGGCAGAACATCGGGCGGCGGAGGCAGTGGATCGAAGGATAAGGAGCAGCTGCCTACGCTGAGGATCAAGTGCCGATTCCAGAGCACCGATATCCTGCCCATCAATGTGTATGCCAACTTCTTGGCCTACCTCAAGGAGAACTACAAGCGAGTGTGCGAGACCTTGGAGCCGGTGATTGGGGTCAAGGCCAAGGAGGATATTGGACAGGCCCTGGTTCTGCTGATGCATGCCCAGGGATTGGCCGGAGCCTTCCTAACCGATGTGGTGGCCTTGGATCTGCTGCGAGTGGGTGATCAGAGGCTTACCTTCAGGGGTAACTCTTTGGCCACCAAGAGCATGGAGGCATTCCTCAAGCTGACGGGCGAACAGTATCTGCAGGACACACTGTCCGCACCCATAAACGAGCTGATTCAGTCGGAGAGGGACTGCGAGGTGGATCCAACCAAGGCGAGCGGTTCGTCGGCGGGCTCACTGCAGCGACAGCAGGCCGCCTTGCGCGGCGCAGTGCGTGGGGCGTGGCAATGCATCTTCGAGTCGCACAAGCACTTCCCTGCCCAGCTGCGAAATTGTTTTGCCACGTTCCGGGAGCGCCTGCAACAGTTGGGTCGCCAAGATATGGCCGACAACCTGATCTCGGCGAGCATTTTCTTGCGCTTCCTATGCCCAGCCATCCTGTCACCGTCGCTCTTCAACATCACCACCGAACTGCCGTCGGCGAGGGCCACCCGCAATCTCACACTGGTGGCTAAGACCCTGCAAACGTTGGCCAACTTCACCCGCTTCCAGGGCAAGGAGAACTTCATGGAGTTCCTCAACGATTTCCTCGAACTGGAGGCATCGCGCATGCAGCAGTTCTTGGAGATCATATCGACACGGCCGGAGCATCCTGCCCCTGATTCGATACTCGATTGGGCTGGTTACATTGACCAGGGTAAACAGCTGTCCATCTTGCACAGCCTGCTCAGCGAAAGTCTGGCCAAGCTGCCGGAGGCCAGGCAGCATGAACTAGATCCGCTGCAGCACATCCTGGACGAGATCAGTCGGGCCAAAGAGCATGGCTTGGGTACAGCACTGCCCGGTGGTTATTTGCCGGCCACCTCATCCACGCACTCGATAGCCAGCGAGAATCAGGAGAATCGCAATCCAGGCTCATCGGCCTCGCATGTGGGCTCCAATCCCGAGGAGTTGCTGCCACAGCAAAGCCAGTTGGCTCAGCCGCAACATGCGATTGTTAGCAAGCCTCTGTCCGCGGAGCGTGGCATCATGAGGGGTGTACTTACGCCGAATTCCCTGGAGAAGAATATCTTTAGATACAATGATCCCACGGTTAATGGCTTACTGCAGCAGCAGCAGCAGCAGCAGCAACAGCAGCAGCAGCAACAGCAACAGCAGCAGCAACAACAACAGCAGCATCAGCTGCAACAGCATCCACACCACCAACATCCTCTCCAGCTGCTCTCCAATTCACAAACCTCCATTGCTGGCAATCAGTATATGAGCTCGCCAGGTGGCCTGCAGCATGCCCAGTCCCAGACCTCGATGGCATCTTCGTCGCTCAATGGCAGCAGCAGCAATCTGTTGCATGGCCATCAGCAGCATGTCCACCACCCGCAGCAATTGCATCCACATCACTGCCCGCCGGCGCCACAGACGAGTGCCTCCAGCACCATGGAGCGCATGGAACGGATGAACTATCCGTATATGTCGCATAATGGCAATGACTACGAGGCTAGCACGCCATCGAGCACACGCTCCAGGACACTGCCACGCAACGGGAATCCCAATACCAATGGCAATATGAGCAGCAATAATAACCAGAGCGGCAGCTACGACGACATGCACGGGGAGTTCCAGATACAGATCTCCGGCCTGGATACGAGCAGTGCCTTCGTCTGCAAGTCACCCACACCCATGATGAAGTCAAATTTGGGTCCAGCTGGGGCGGGACGGAGCCACCACAAGTTGAATCTGGGAATACCCGATCATTCCAGTGGCTATGGGCGTGGGAATAGCAATCTGAATCCCAATTCGAATATGCCCAAGAACCTGGAGGATCTCGACGATCTGTTCAAGTACGCCGAGGAGCATGATGTGGCGGAGCCAGGTAATCATCATCATCACAGCCAGAGCCAGCAGAACCCTCAGGGTCACCTTAAACCGGCAGCTGTGCCCGGCAAGGAGCAGCTGTCGGCGAAGAGCAGCCACTGCAGCTCGGGTTACCAGAGCATCTCCACGAATCCGTCGCCCTCGCAGTCCTCCAGTCCCGTGGAGAGCCAGCTGAAGGCCGCGATGGGCAGTCACAATGCACCGCTGGCCTTCAAGAATCCCTCCTACCAGCTACAGCCCCAAACGGGTTCGTCCAGATCTTCAGGCCCGAGTAATCCTCAGCAACAGCAGCAGTTTGGTAGCCGCTTAAAACCGATTGGTGGTGGACTAGTGGCCGCCAGGGCTGCCTTCCTCAACAGTGGTGGAGCCTTAGAGGCGGCCACTTTGACGCCCAGTTCCTCGGATGAGCAACTCTCGGCGGATAACTATTTCAGTTATGCAGCAGCTGCGGCAGCTGGAGCGGGAATAACCACCAAATTGGAGGCTCAACGTTCGCTCAGCGGCGGCAGTAGCTCCTCCAACTCGGCATCCGCTTCCAACTCGAATCTGGGCAAGAGCGGTGGCTCATCAGCCTACGGGCGGCTGAATGGACCGCTCAAACGGGAGGATGTCTATGGCAGTGGCTACGGCGGCAGCAGTGGTAATGTGGGCTATGGCATGGCCACATCCAGTGTCTCTGGACACCATCAGCATCCCCACCAACAGCAGCAGCAGCAGCATCAGTTGCAACAGCAGCAGCAGCATCAAAGGGAACGGGATCAGGAGTTGAAGCAGTATGCAGGCAGTGTGGCAGGAAGCGTAGGATCTGCCACATCGGCGGCACAGAGGCGTCTGAGTTTGGACTCGGCGCGCACGCTTTCCGACAGCAGCACGGACACGGAGGGTGAGTTGGGGAAGTTGATCTACCAAAACAGAAACTAACTTCCGATATTCCCTGTTTTCAGGACACTGCAACCAAGTGCAGGAGGGCAAGCGACGCAGACAGTTGCGCAGCAGTGGCGGCAGCGGCGGTGGCGGTGGCGGAGGAGCAGGTTCAGAACAGGGATTGGGCAAGAGCTATGACCAGAACGGGGAGATCCAGCTGCTGCAGCAGACGCTGGACACCCTATGTCATACACTAGATCGGGATGAGGCGGAGCTGCGGGACTCTAGCGATGAGCTCTTTGGTCTACAGCGGGCGGCGGGCAGTAATGGATCGAACAACCTGAGCCTGCAGTCGGAGTCCACCATGCGGAGCATCATCGACAGGTGGGGATTGAACTCGATTCGAGATTATGATTACGATGTAGCCAAAAAGAGGTCCACAAAGCTGCTTGCAAGATTAGAAAAAGCTTTTATTAATCACTAATTTTGGCCACATGACACTTAAAATATTTGTTTTGAAAAACTAATCCTTCAATGGAAAACCTAATTAAAGTTTCTTTCAATCCTCCTGCAGACTCATCACCATGGAGGAGGAGCTGCGTCGCGAGCAGCTGAAGATGTCGCTGGCGCTGTCCCACAAGCAGCGCGTGATCGAGGAGCAGGGCCAGCAGATCGCAGCACTGGATGCGGCCAATAGTCGTCTCTTGAGTGCCCTGACCGCACTGCGCCAGCGGTACGAGACGCAGCAGCAACAGCAGCAGCAGCAACAGCAGCACCAAGCACCACCAAAGACCCAGAAGCCACAGTGAGCGGATGGGGGAGAAGAAGGTTAGAGAGATCGTAGGAGGATCGGGAGGAGACCGCGACTACTAAAGGTAGGGCACCAAGGAGACACCGTCGCGGTTCCGTCTTAAGGATACCTTTTTGTTTATTTTTTTTTTAGCTATTTTTTTGTATGCTACATAAATTATACTACATGTTTAATATAATAATTACACATAACATACATACATTATACATAATTTCTCAATCTATGTTTAAAAACAACAACAAAATGTGAAAACGCTAAACGCAGCTGCAAAGGCAGTAAGATATAAACCCAGAAACCAGAAGATCGGAGCATGGAAGTGAAGAAGAACAAGAACAAGTTAAGATAATGAATAAAATTATAACCAAAGTTAGACAAAACTTCTTCCGCAACTTACTTTACTTATTTCCCATTTCAAATCTCTATAAAACACCAAAAAATTATATTATTTTACTGGGAAATAACAATTTTAAATCTCAAAAATCTTTTTGGCGCTGCAGATTCTGCTAACACAAAAGAAATATTTTCATATTTTGAATGCAGTCGAACTTTAATAATGAAATACATCGTCGTATAGCATTCCTTATACGAACCACTATTGGCTGAGTTAAGAGCAGCATACTTTCATGTTAATGCGTACATCGGGACAAGCCGATTTTCGCATTTTTTATGAGGGGTATCATCATTAGCAGCACAAAACAGTCGTTCTTTTGGCTGTGCGTCTTGTTTTGGCTGAGCTATAGGTAAAAAGCCGCAATTAATTTTGCAAATTTCTGATGAAATTGTGTTTCCTTATTTTTTCAGCCATTAAATCGGAGCTCGCGCCGAAATATCAGAACGATAATGACAAAAGTAAGTATAGGGGCTTTAAGTTTCGGTAGTAAGCTTCATAAAACAGCCGTTGTTTTAGCCGTGCGTCTTGTTTTGACAAAGTTACAGCCAACAAAACTGGGCTCTCTGCTGCCAAAAGACGTATACTTGATTTTGGGCGGAAAAAAATCAGTTTTTTGGGCATAGCACAGCCAAACATGGTCCAAATGAGGAATGTAATACCTCGTAGGGCTCGCAACTTGATTGCCATGATTCCCAATTGATGTGCATTCAAATCTGGAAAATTTTATTTCTGGCCATTTTTTGAAAATTTTGATGATGGTACCCCTTATCAAAAACGCGAAATTTGGGCCAAAATGTAATTTCCCAAAATCGAAAAACGAGTGATAGGGGTGGTAAGTGGTGGTCGTTAGCAGCACAAAACAGTCTCAATTTTGGCTGTGCGCCATTTTTTGGCCGAGCTAGAGCTGAAAACCCGCAACAAATATTGCATTTTGATTTTTTAGCCATGAAATCAGCACTCGCAGGAAAAGAGCAGTACCCCACTGTAAAAGGTGGGTATAGAGGCTTAAAGTGTTGGTTGTTAGCTGCATAAAACAGTCGTTCTTTTGGCTCTGCGTCTTGTTTTAGCCGAGCTAGAGCTGAAAACCCGCAACAAATATTGCATTTTGATTTTTTAGCCATGAAATCAGCACTCGCAGGAAAAGAGCAGTACACCACTGTAAAAAAGTGGGTATAGGCGCTTAAAGTGTTGGTTGTTAGCTGCATAAAACAGTCACTGTTTTAGCTGTGCGCCTTGTTTTGGCCGAGCTAGAGCTGAAAACCCGCAACAAATATTGCATTTTGATTTTTTAGCCATGAAATCAGCACTCGCAGGAAAAGAGCAGTACACCACTGTAAAAAGTGGGTATAGGGGCTTAAAGTGTTGGTTGTTAGCTGCAAGAAACAGTCACTGTTTTAGCTGTGCGTCTTTTCTGAGCAAAGTTAGAGCTAAGAAACTGCAAGAAGGCCGGGCTCTCCGCTGCCAAAAGACGTATACTTGATTTTGGGCGGAAAAAAATCAGTCTTTTGGGCATAGCAGAGCCAAAAATGGTCCAAACGAGGAATGTAATACCTCGTAGAGCTCGTAACTTGATTGCCATGATTCCCAATTGATTTGCATTCAAATCTGGAAAACTTCATTTCTGGCCATTTTTTGAAAATTTTGATGATGGTACCCCTTATCAAAAACGCGAAATTTGGGCCAAAATTTAATTTCCCAAAATCGAAAAACGAGTGATAGGGGTGGTTAGTGTTGGTCGTTAGCAGCACAAAACAGTCTCAATTTTGGCTGTGCGCCATTTTTTGGCCGAGCTAGAGCTGAAAACCCGCAACAAATATTGCATTCTGATTTTTTAGCCATGAAATCAGCACTCGCAGGAAAGGAGCAGTACACCACTGTAAAAGGTGGGTATAGGGGCTTAAAGTGTTGGTTGTTAGCTGCATAAATTAGTCAATGTTTTAGCTGTGCGTCTTTTCTGAGCAAAGTTACAGCTAAGAAACGGCGACAATCCGGGCTCTCTGCTGCCAAAAGACGTATACTTGATTTTGGGCGGAAAAAAATCAGTCTTTTGGGCATAGCAGAGCCAAAAATGGTCCAAACGAGGAATGTAATACCTCGTAGAGCTCGTAACTTGATTGCCATGATTCCCAATTGATTTGCATTCAAATCTGGAAAGCTTCATTTCTGGCCATTTTTTGAAAATTTTGATGATGGTACCCCTTATCAAAAACGCGAAATTTGGGCCAAAATTTACTTTCCCAAAATCGAAAAACGAGTGATAGGGGTGGTAAGTGGTGGTCGTTAGCAGCACAAAACAGTCTCAATTTTGGCTGTGCGCCATTTTTTGGCCGAGCTAGAGCTGAAAACCCGCAACAAATATTGCATTTTGATTTTTTAGCCATGAAATCAGCACTCGCAGGAAAAGAGCAGTACACCACTGTAAAAGGTGGGTATAGGCGCCTAAAGTGTTGGTTGTTAGCTGCATAAAACAGTCACTGTTTTAGCTGTGCGCCTTGTTTTGGCCGAGCTAGAGCTGAAAACCCGCAACAAATATTGCATTTTGTTTTTTTAGCCATGAAATCAGCACTCGCAGGAAAAGAGCAGTACACCACTGTAAAAAGTGGGTATAGGGGCTTAAAGTGTTGGTTGTTAGCTGCATAAAACAGTCGTTCTTTTGGCTGTGCGTCTTGTTTTAGCCGAGCTAAAGCTGAAAACCCGCAACAAATATTGCATTTTGATTTTTTAGCCATGAAATCAGCACTCGCTGGAAAAGAGCAGTACACCACTGTAAAAGGTGGGTATAGGGGCTTAAAGTGTTGGTTGTTAGCTGCATAAAACAGTCACTGTTTTAGCTGTGCGCCTTGTTTTGGCCGAGCTAGAGCTGAAAACCCGCAACAAATATTGCATTTTGATTTTTTAGCCATGAAATCAGCACTCGCAGGAAAAGAGCAGTACCCCACTGTAAAAGGTGGGTATAGGGGCTTAAAGTGTTGGTTGTTAGCTGCATAAAACAGTCGTTCTTTTGGCTGTGCGTCTTGTTTTAGCCGAGCTAGAGCTGAAAACCCGCAACAAATATTGCATTTTGTTTTTTTAGCCATGAAATCAGCACTCGCAGGAAAAGAGCAGTACACCACTGTAAAAAGTGGGTATAGGGGCTTAAAGTGTTGGTTGTTAGCTGCATAAAACAGTCGTTCTTTTGGCTGTGCGTCTTGTTTTAGCCGAGCTAAAGCTGAAAACCCGCAACAAATATTGCATTTTGTTTTTTTAGCCATGAAATCAGCACTCGCAGGAAAAGAGCAGTACACCACTGTAAAAAGTGGGTATAGGCGCTTATAGTGTTGGTTGTTAGCTGCATAAATTAGTCAATGTTTTAGCTGTGCGTCTTTTCTGAGCAAAGTTACAGCTAAGAAACTGCAAGAAGGCCGGGCTCTCCGCTGCTAAAAGACGTATACTTGATTTTGGGCGGCAAAAAATCAGTCTTTTGGGCATAGCAGAGCCAAAAATGGTCCAAACGAGGAATGTAATACCTCGTAGAGCTCGTAACTTGATTGCCATGATTCCCAATTGATTTGCATTCAAATCTGGAAAGCTTCATTTCTGGCCATTTTTTGAAAATTTTGATGATGGTACCCCTTATCAAAAACGCGAAATTTGGGCCAAAATGTAATTTCCCAAAATCGAAAAACGAGTGATAGGGGTGGTAAGTGGTGGTCGTTAGCAGCACAAAACAGTCTCAATTTTGGCTGTGCGCCATTTTTTGGCCGAGCTAGAGCTGAAAACCCGCAACAAATATTGCATTTTGATTTTTTAGCCATGAAATCAGCACTCGCAGGAAAAGAGCAGTACCCCACTGTAAAAGGTGGGTATAGAGGCTTAAAGTGTTGGTTGTTAGCTGCATAAAACAGTCGTTCTTTTGGCTCTGCGTCTTGTTTTAGCCGAGCTAGAGCTGAAAACCCGCAACAAATATTGCATTTTGATTTTTTAGCCATGAAATCAGCACTCGCAGGAAAAGAGCAGTACACCACTGTAAAAAGTGGGTATAGGCGCTTAAAGTGTTGGTTGTTAGCTGCATAAAACAGTCACTGTTTTAGCTGTGCGCCTTGTTTTGGCCGAGCTAGAGCTGAAAACCCGCAACAAATATTGCATTTTGATTTTTTAGCCATGAAATCAGCACTCGCAGGAAAAGAGCAGTACACCACTGTAAAAAGTGGGTATAGGGGCTTAAAGTGTTGGTTGTTAGCTGCAAGAAACAGTCACTGTTTTAGCTGTGCGTCTTTTCTGAGCAAAGTTACAGCTAAGAAACTGCAAGAAGGCCGGGCTCTCCGCTGCTAAAAGGCGTATACTTGATTTTGGGCGGAAAAAATCAGTCTTTTGGGCATAGCAGAGCCAAAAATGGTCCAAACGAGGAATGTAATACCTCGTAGAGCTCGTAACTTGATTGCCATGATTCCCAATTGATTTGCATTCAAATCTGGAAAGCTTCATTTCTGTCCATTTTTTGAAAATTTTGATGATGGTACCCCTTATCAAAAACGCGAAATTTGGGCCAAAATTTAATTTCCCAAAATCGAAAAACGAGTGATAGGGGTGGTAAGTGGTGGTCGTTAGCAGCACAAAACAGTCGTTCTTTTGGGTGTGCGTCTTGTTTTAGCCGAGCTAAAGCTGAAAACCCGCAACAAATATTGCATTTTGATTTTTTAGCCATGAAATCAGCACTCGCAGGAAAAGAGCAGTACACCACTGTAAAAAGTGGGTATAGGGGCTTATAGTGTTGGTTGTTAGCTGCATAAAACAGTCACTGTTTTAGCTGTGCGCCTTGTTTTGGCCGAGCTAGAGCTGAAAACCCGCAACAAATATTGCATTTTGATTTTTTAGCCATGAAATCAGCACTCGCAGGAAAAGAGCAGTACCCCACTGTAAAAGGTGGGTATAGAGGCTTAAAGTGTTGGTTGTTAGCTGCATAAAACAGTCGTTCTTTTGGCTGTGCGCTTTGTTTTAGCCGAGCTA